CTGGAGCGTGACAGAGTGGCTGGCTGGCCTAGGGGGTGGGGAATGGGACATGGGCTCCCCCACCCCATTCCTGCAGGACAACTGGCCTTGGCAGGGGTCTGGGGGCAGAATGTGACTCGTGCCCAGGATTCACGCTGCTCTGTTTCCACCCAGGAAAAGGTGGTCGAGAAGAATCCGGCGATCTGGGTGTAGGGGACCCTGCCAATGGACCGCGGGCACTGCCCGGACTGTAGGGCCCCCGGGACCAGACTGGCTCTTGGGCCGTAAAAGCAGGTTGATCTCCAGGTGCTGTGAATTCCTGCTCTGCCCACGGGGCCTCCCCGGGACCAGGGGCCAAGGAGTTGTTCGCAGACCACAGAGCCGGGGTGGGGCAGTTGCCTGCTCCCAGGATGGATGGAGCCTCCGGCCCCAGGTCTCCAGAGCGGACTGACCTACAGCGAGCGGCTCTCCTGGCTGGCGCCCAGGCAGGGGGGCAGGAGTGGCGCAGGGCAGAGGAGGCAGTCCAGGTGCCAGTGGAGGCAGCGGCCTGTCTGCCCCTGCAGGCCCCCCAAAGGATGTGGGGTTCCTTCCTTTGCTAAGACAGTTATGGGGGCTGGGCCCTCTACAGCTGGTAGGAGCACACCTGGGGCCACTGGCAGTCTGGTTGGGGGGGCTCTGTGCCTCATCCCTCCCCCTCCCCAGGGGGGGGGGCCTCTCCAGCGCCAGGGGAAAGAAAGATTCACCCCACCAGCTGCAAGGTGATGGGGCCAGGATGGGAGCTGGAATTTAACCCCTCTCCCGAGACTCTCAGACAGGGTTTAAACCACAGAAAGGAACCAAAATCCCTTTATTTTATTGTCCTCCCCCAATTGTCTGTGCTGGGGGGGGTTCAACTCCCACAGCCCCCCACCCGGGGGGGGTGTTGCTGCTTTAGCTGCTGGTGTCACAGGATGGCATGGCATTAGGGCAGGTGTCCCTGACCCCTTCACGCAGGGAAGGGACAGCAGGGAATGTGCTTTAGCAGGCAGGGGCCTCCCCCCTGCATCCAGCCCTCCTCCCCGCCCCCCCGGCAGGGTTG